TATCAAATTAAGGAGCTGGGTCTGTTGGTCCGTCTCCAAGGCCCATTGAACATAAAAATTGCTAAGGATAGCGAGAGAACAACTTTTATGTTAAAACCTTTAAAGTGCTATAGTAGTTCCCTATAGGCTTGAGAAAGTATTGTGTTGATAGAAATGTACAATCCAAAAGCTCTCGCTCTATTCTAGTTTTATTTCTTTTGTCATTATGATAGATCATTCCCATTCTCAAGAGAATGTTCCCCATAGTCAGACAATTAGTGATGTTTTCCCCCTTATATCTTGCAACCCGAGAAGAAAGAAACCCCAGGGCTCATTCTGTAGCTCGCACTGATGTGCTTTTGTTCACATGTTGATAGTATCTGTATTTCCTCATAAAATGAGCTGCATCTGCTTTCAATTAGACTTTTCTTAGGAGTGGGTAACAGGCTGATCTGAGGCTCCTGACAGAGTCTGCACTGTGTCTTTCCCAAGAAGCGTGCTTATGATACGGGATAATCTCTGTGAAAATCCCATAAACGCTGATGAATTGGAAGTGATATTGAATGTGTCTAGCACCCGTTTATGTTCGACAGCATCTGAACACACTTGCTCTGGGAACATGCATCTGCTTTAGGAAGGCTGTTATTTTCCTAAGAATGCTTTGGACTTGGACAGGTTTCCAGTAATGTATAATCCCGCTACCTTGTGTTTGAAGGATAGATGTCTTTGTGGAAGCACACAGACATAAACTGTTAACTTACTGAAAAATATCCATAAAATGATTTCACTCTGTCTCTACTTAACGGGATCACCTCATTACTCATCTGTAGATGCACTTTTTGTCTTGTACTTCCTTAAGAGTATTTTTTAAAATTGGACTATGAAATAAAGGATTTTCCTTCTGACACTCTCTCACGTTCACTCCTAACACCATCTCTTGTCTCTATTCTCCTCCCACTGCTCCCCCCCCCCACCAATGGCCCTGCTTCTGATCAGATGTCTTCCGTGAATATATGTTAACTCTGATTTTGCATATGAGAGGAAACAAGTGACGCTTGTCTGTCATTCCCCTTTCATCCTCTCTCACTTCATTCTCCCATTAATGCCCTACCTCCCCACTCGAATAGTCCCCTTTTTACTTTCATGTCTTCTGTATGGTTTTTCTTTGAAACTCTAGGTTCTATGCGTCGATGAGAAAAAATGTGATATTTATCTTTAGGAGTCTGGCTTGTTTCACTTGGTTTAACGAGCGCCAGTGCCATTCATTTTATTGTTAGTGTCATAACTTAACTTTTTTTTTTCCACCTGGAGAAGATTCCAGTGCGTTTAAGTGCCATGTTGTCTTTATCCATTCATCTGCTGATTGGTGGATAGGCTGGTTATGTAGCATAGTAATGGTGAACAGTGCTGTATTGAACACAGAAGTCCTGGGATCCCTGTGGTTTGATTTAGATTTATTTCAGATACATACCAAGAATGAGTAATATGGTGGTTAGATCATATGGTGGTTCTTTTTTATTTTTATTTTTTAGGATAAAAAAAAAAAAAAAAAAGAAATTCTGTACAGATGTCCTTAGAAGCTGCACCAACAGTCTTCCCAGCAGTGTGTGCAGATTCCTTCCTTTGCCTGTGTCCTTGATGGATGCGATGGACTTTTTGGTGGTTCTTGTCTTACCCACCTTTTAGTTGAGAACCAGTCGTGACTGTGCTGGTCTTTTATGTAGAATAAATGTTCTGTTGGTTTGCTCCTTTTTCTTTTTTTCCTTCCTTTTCTTTTTTTTTTTTTTCAGACAGTATAAGGGTTTTTATTATTGCTTAAATTTATTGATTGCTTTCTCAGACACTAAATCAGTCCTTTGTGTTTGTGGAGCAAAGCAAATCTTTCCAGCCCATTTCATAAAAATGTCGACATGGATTATTACCTCATATGTTCTAGAGATGTCAAATATTAGTTACAATTAGTCTGGTTTTTGTTGTCATGTGGGGAGAGTTGATGAGAAGAACCAGTCATATTTTCATTCATATTCAATCATGAAAGATTACTAAAAAACTCTTCAAACAACAGCATCTGCTTTTTTTTTTTTGCAAAGTTGTGTTAGTATAATTATAATTTCATATGGAAAATCCAGGTGCTTTATAAGGTTAAACTTGAAGGAAAAATATCATTTGCATTATGAAACACATGTTCTTTTGAATTCATTTATGACAACATAACAATTTTCTTTGAGTATACAGTTTTCATTCATGTGCTTTAAGTATTTAGTAATTTTCAGGAGGATATTTGTGAAGAGATCCAAAGGTCTCAGCCTGTTTTATGAACACATAATTGTGAGACACTCCCAATGCCATTGTTCTTTCATGTTTTTATTAAGTGCACAAATTAATGGTTTCCATGGTCTGTCTATCTATCTATCTATCTATCTATCTATCTATCTATCTATCTATCT